TTTTGACCGTTCCCGAATACATTTGGACGACTTTTTTGCGTGACGTCTTTAAGTATGAACAGAATAAAGGAATCTTTTTTCGAAAACAGATTACAAAATGGATTTAAAATAGATTCAAAAGGGATTTTTTCAGGGCGTCTGTACGTACATATGCATGTATCCCGCATAACTCAAAAACAATCATCCGTAGAACGTTGAAATTTTGTATAGGGTACTGCTATAACGTCTAGTTGCTCCCTTTCCTTTTTTATTGCAATCGGCAGTACCAAAAGTGTACTCTTACCCGGCTTAACAGTCATTACCTGGCCTTTATTTTCTCAATCCTTGGTTGTAGTCATATACTTCTAGTTACAGAAGTGATTTAAATGACTAACATATTCATATTTTGATAATTTCAAATTTAAAAAAATCAATAATAGTTTTGGACAGATGAACGAAATCTAACTTTTAATGCGGTCTCTCGGTTCCTATTGTCATATTTGGGAATGTTTTATACTCGTAATGAAAAAAAAACTGTAAGAAGTTTGACTCCCATACGAACAAAAATTGGCCGCGATGTTTAATTTCAAAATTTGAAGTTTTTGGTGTCTTTTCCAACTTCCTTTGATGAATCGGTTAATTAAGTTAGAATAATTCGAGGAAATAAGTTTAAATGAAGTGCAGCAAACAATGTGTATAATTTAATAGGCCATATAAGGAAGTCATGTGGTGTCCATATCAGTTAAGGCCCGGTTAGTCCGCCCCCTGGTTAATCGGGAGCTGATTGTACGCACACACTCGCATACATGCTCATTTATATATATATATTGGGTCAGTCCATAAATTCATGCCCACTTTTTTGGTAAATTTTTAAATAATATAAAAAACATAATTTAACATTTTAATCAAATATATATTTTCCTCCATTATCTACAATGTCTCGCCATCTTACAGGCAGCTTTTTTATGCCATTGCTGTAGAAAGACTCTGATTTTGATGCAAAAAAACTCGAAAGCTCATTGTGTACATCCTGTTTAGAATTAAATTTTTTTCCCAATAAAAGATTTTGTAAGGCACGAAATAAGTGAAAATCACTTGAGGCAATATCCGGGAAGTAAGCAGGATGTGGCAAAAGCTCCCAATTAAATTCACTCATTTTTTGCAACGTTGTTCGAGCCGTATGCGGTCTAGCGTTATCGCGATGATGAAACAACACTTTCTTGGTATTCACCAATCGTGGCGCCGTATTTTGATAAATTTCTGAGTTTAGACGTCAAAGTTGTTCACTATAAACTTCTGAATTAATTGCTTGATTTGGTTCTAACAGTTCAAAACGTCCTGAAACGGTGGTACATCATCATCAGTGCTGCTTTTTCCGACTTTAAATTTTTTTAAACCATTTCTGGGCAGTCCTTTACACTAATAGTGTGTTGTTTACCATGTACACTATTAATTTTTATCGCTGCAAACCTGGCAGATTCACCACACGAAAATAAAAAAATGCAGCACAGTACATTTGTACTGATTATCTATATTCATCTTTTGTGGGTACTAAAATGCGTTCGATATTTACGAAAGTTGGTGATGAACTGGATAATATGTTAATTAAACGATGACAAGTTTCAACAGGTTCAGAATTGTATTGTTTTAGTAAATGCGTCCTAGTGAATTCCACGAATACTCTTAACGCGCACGAACTTATGGACTGACCCGATATGTGATGATTTGCGAAATGTCGCACCCGAGATATTGAAGCATGAAGCAAAATTGCAAACGTAATATAACAAGAAGCAATCATAACAGATTTAAATAATATTTAATTTAGTTAAAGATTTCACGAACACGAACTAACTTTCACACTAATCCTACCTATTCCAGAATGCTTCATTTACATTTTTAATACCTTTGCGGTAGAACAGCGGAGCAGCAGTCTAGCGTGGGCCTAGGAGCAGAAGTAAAGAGCGATGTGTTGAAGAAATCTGTATTCAGAGTGAGTTAGTTTCGGTTTTAATATCATTTGATTGGATAGTTGATAAAGCTCTAAAATTATGATTGGGTGAAGGATTATGCAATTTTTTGGGTCAGAAAGCTATGTAAAAGTCATATGATATGGATTAATCTTGAAATAGCGTAGTGCAGAGAAAGTTATTATAAGAAGTTATCATTTTTAAAATTAAAATAAAGAATTAAGAAGATATTTCTAATTTAAGTTATAATTTTGATTTACATATTTTTTACCTTTATTTTCTCCCTCCTTTCGGCATGCCTTCGTGGTGTAACGTTTAGCACACTCGACGCATATTCGAGAGATGCAGGTTCCAGTCCCGGCGAGGGCATTGCTCCTTTTTCACGTCCCCTTCAAAATATTTTAATGCCTTTACAATATGCAATTTTGCATTATATATTTACGCATGAATATAATATATAATATAATATAGATATATGAATTTTTGTGCGAATAGTTTTAAAAATTTATTATGGTATCAGTCGCGTTAGCGATTAAAAAATTCGTTTAACATTCTCTATCACTAAAAAGTTCAAAAGCATCGTCTAATGAGGATTTTATGCATTTGACGTAGCATTTCAAACATTTTTTTTATTTATTTATTTAAATAGAAGTTAGAAAGGAAAGAAAGAACAAACGCCGCACATCATTTAGTTGTAAATAAAATGGAAACTTAGCACGGAAGTTCGATAGTTCACTCTTTTTATTACTTTCGCTCAGCAAGGATAGGTTAAAAAAAACTCGGAAGTCTAAATGAATTCATAATTCAAAATAAATATTTAAAAAAAAGTTCTGGAAAAGGGCCAACAAGGGCACATAAAAACACCGCAACCGCCGTTCATAAAAACTAGAAAACAGCTCATGAAGAACATCAAGTAGGCCGATCTGCTGCCATATTTGGTCTTGTAATGAAAGCATCCTGTGTTTAGCAGCTGAATAATATCCCCATTTTACCTTTTAAGAATATAGTTGAATAGTTTAACATCAGTATTTCAAAAAGTTTTATCTGCATGGCATTTTTGTATTAATGATAAGGAACTGTGCAGAGAATCCGCTAATCTGAATTGAACCGGCAAAGGCAGTTAGACCCTTCAATATTGACATTCCTCAGTGATAAACTGTTCTAATCTTGCATTTCAAAAGTGCTACTGGAAGATTCGAAGGTTAAGTTTTTAAAATTCTACTCTGTAGGTTCATATCGATTTGGTTTCAAGGTTTATGATATTATGAATCATTAATAGTCTTTTAAAATGTTAGGTTTCTTTAATAATTCTATTCCCTTTCCATTATAACTATTACTTCACGCTAATGTTAAAACTTTAATTTTAGAAATTTCAGACATTGCTGACACTTAGCCGTTGTATTTATGGATTTTGCAACAAAATGATATGATGCTTAAATGTTTAAAATAATTAGACTTCTATACAATTCCGTCCCAGTTTTGACCATGGCGCCACAAGTGTATGGAATGTGAGAGCTTCCTAATCTTCTCCTTTACCATTGTTTTTCGAGAATCTATTCGTCTTCCTTTACAATGAACTACTCGAGAAGACTTTCACATCGACAATTTTTCTGTACCCTCATCGTTGTCGCAGTGCCCGACACTTTTGAGAACACAACGGTGCTGCAGTCGCAAAGATACATAGCATACCTGGAAATCAAGGTCCAGTGGCCGTCTGCGCTAACTATCATACCGTCCAGCACAACTGTTTCGTTGAAACGGACATAATAATTTCATATTAACTATTCTATATAAATTTCGAAATGTATGAGAGAATAATCAGTGTTTAGCTTCCCCCCCCCAAGGACAAAAATTTCTGTGCTTAAACTCAAAGATGGTATTATTTCTGTGATTTTCTCCATCCGTCGGCTTTGTTTTTGATATTAGAAGATCACTATTTCTTGAAAAAGTGATACTTAAAAAAAAAAAAAAAAAAAAAAAAAAAAATTCTGGGTACTTTTCCTTTTATGAACTTACAAATAATTTCGCAAATTCATTCTCTCGTTGCTGAATAATTTCTAATTATAATATTTTTTATTTATTTTAAATGTACCTAAACTGTGAAACATCCAGTGCCAAAAAACAAGGCTTTTTCTAATCCATTTTTATTATAATAAAGTTTTATTACATAAAATCTTATATTTAAAATGTTCTCTTCAAAACAGTAAAGTTAACTGATAAAAATAAAATTGATACAATATTACTTCGTCGCAATGCAACGCCAAGATAAGACTAAACGTTAAGATTTAATCAATTTAGAACGTAACTGTGCTTTTATTTCAGTGGATCCCATCTAACAAGTATTATTTTTTTCAAGCGACAGTAGTTTCTGTTTTCCGAGGACTTTAAATGCATGACAAACATCCTGAACAAATTTCCTTGAAGGTACAGTAGAACTCCAATTATCCGAATCATTTGGGGACTGGACCCCATTTGGATAATCAAAAATTCGGATAATTGGATTTTTTCCGAAAAAAGGGTCTAACGTACACTTTAATTAATTACTGTATGTACTGTATAGTGAAAATGTGAGAAAAAACTATTTTTAAAGAAAAAAAGTTTTAATTAATTAAAATGGAAAAACAAACACCTTTTACGTACATGTTATATAGCGTACTGGTACAGTACAAGTGTTGGTCTGGTGTGGTAGAAATGTAATGGGACACCTAATGTTTACTATAAGAGTAATGTAGGTATAGTCCCATCACAATTCGATCTAGAGAAAGCCAAAAAGATCACAGGGCTCACCGAGCTGTCGTGACTCGAAACATTTGTTTCACCTTACACCGACAGTTCCGAGACCTCCTGTGAACCCCGGGTCTCACAACCAACTCTTAGCCAATTCTTCGTCTTCGCTTTCTAATAAAAATTTCCCTAAAAGTTACCTTCTGTAATGGAGTTCCATGGTTCCGATAACAGACTGATCCATTGGTTGCAACAAGCTTGTGACGTTTGGCGGTTACTTTTCCAATCAAAGCTTTTCCAAGAGATTTTTGGTGCTATTTCACTTCAAGGATGAAACTTTCATCATACCACTCAGTAAACAATGCTGCAATCATCCTAGCCTTGGTTGGTTTTTATAAAAAAAAGGGAAGCTTCTTCACATTTTTATATGCTGTTGGGTTTTCTGACTTACATATCAACAGAAGGGGCATTTTATGGCTTCCCGTAGAGTTCGCACTGGTAAGCACCGTAACACGGTCTTTACTAACTTCATGTCCTGGAGCACTACACTCCGTTTTAGACGCTAAGGCCAAGCTTTCCAAACAACACCAGTTTCATCGGAGTTGTACAAAAACTCAGGATCGTAGGAGTCTGCTACAATTTTAAATGTTTCAATAAAATCATCTACAACGTTTGAGTCCGCTGATAATTTCTCGCCACTTAAATCTAATTCACGGATACCGTGCATGCACTTAAAATTTCTTAGGCAGCCGTTACTTGCTTTAAAGGATGAACAACCAAGCTTCTGAGCTAAGATCTTAGCTTTTTCGCAAAGAATCGGACACCGAAATTTGGGTTTTCCATAGAACGTTGCTGCAAAAATCACTTGAACGCAACACCTTCTAAATTTTTGTTTGTTGCTGCCTTCACCGATTTTCTTAAAGAGCATCTTCGTTTCCAAGCAGTGACACGAAGTTTAAAAGGGCAGGTTTGCTCCTTTTAATGTCTGAAATCGGTGATTGTCCAACAGCGTACATCTCAGCCAACTGTTTACCCGTAATTCCTTTATCTGATTGTTCTATAATTTTTAGTTTATCCGCTAACGATAACGAAACACACTTTCTTTTAGAAGCCATGGTGAACGACGAAACACACAAACAAAATAATACACGGACGCGAAAGAGTACGGTCACAGTATTGTAGCAGGTCAACAACTGACAGGTGGGCCGGGCCTGGCGATGGACGACAGCACTGTAGCCAGTAACAAAACTACACTATGAGACGGTGATTCATCATCCCAATAATGTTCGCTCTGCGCCTACATCAGCTTCGCGGAGGGAAGGACAATAGCGCGCGTAGACAGAATCATTATTTTGCGAATGGCAGTACGTTTCTGTCTTAATTTTTTTCTTAAATTCTGAAAGCGATTCGGATAATCAGAGATTCGGATAGTCGGAGTTCGGATAATTGGAATTGTACTGTGTGTATCTCGCATAACTCAAAAGTGATTAGCCTTAGAACGTTGAAATGTTGTATACAGGACTCCTATATTATCTAGCTGTGCACCTCCCTTTTTTGTTGCAATCGGTTACACCAACCACCGTCTTTGGATCAGTGAACTCTGTTTTTATTCTTATATGTTTATAAATTGTGCATTTTTTGCTTTAAAAGTGATTGAATTATATTGTTCTCATGTTTCAATTAAGGTTTTTATGTCTTTAGTTAATCAGCATGCAAGAGTTGTAGAATTATCAACGGTTTAGAAGTGTAAATGGCGCTAGAACTAATGTGGCGGCTCTTTGTTTACATCTGAAATTCTTAGTAGTATAGCGAATTAAGTTAGATGGTGCACCAACTTCAGGTTCTTTTTGCTCAATTGAACCAAAAGTTAATTTTAAATACTTGCGCACCGAAAATTTATCTTTCTGCCATTTGATCGAATTGCTTGCTTTGACGTAGAAACTGTAATTGTAATTGCAAAAATTGTTTTTTAACTGTTTTTAACTGTGTTCGGTGTTTTCAGCTTTTGTTTTGTATTTTACAATTCTCAATTAAGGTGTTTTGAATTTTTATGTATTTTTCGCTTTGCCGCAGATTGAGAACTGAATTGATTGAATTTGAAATATATCTTTAATGAAATTCGAAGAAATAAGTTTAAATGCAGTGCAGCAAAATTGTTTATAAGTCGAACAAGGAAATCATGGGGTATCCACATCAGATTTTTTAATAAACAATCAATATTTGACCCGGTTTGCTTATGCGTTTCGTACAAATGGTTTTGTTGATTTTTAATGCTTTCTTACGCCCTCCTTTTTTAGCGGAAACTCTTATTAAATAAATCTCTATGAGCACAAACTTCCCGAGTGTAATTTTTCCAATCTATTACTTTTTGGAATCCATATTCAGCAGACCATATTGTGTCCATTAATACTTTGAAAATAATCCACTGTTTGCATTTCTGCAGAAGGCAGTTCCTATATTTTAATCTTTTTTTTTTTTTTTTTTTCCTCTCCCAAAATGCAAGAGAAAAATGCAGCAACAACAGTAAATTTATACCCTTCTAAAAACATAAAATCAAAACAGGGCTTTTCAAGAATCGATTGGAGTTACATCAAAAGAAAGCGCAGATGTTACGAGTGTTTTGTTACGTTATGCTTATTCCTAAGTGGCTCTAAATCACGCTGCTTGGCAACAGTTTCACGGTTGACGGTTAATACGTAAGTACTATTTCATCTATAGCACAAATACTGCTTTTTGTTAATTTAAAGAGTTTCATAAAAAGATTATTTTAAATTTCTTACTACTTTGTCATTGTTTCAGACTAAAGCGATAACCCGCTTTTCAATCTATTAAAATCTGAAGGACTTAGAAATAGCAGAATCCAACACATATTTTTATTTCATCGTATATACTATTTCGTCATTGACCATATTTTTGAACCTTCCGTAGAAATAAGTATTATGGTTTACGATAAAGCTTTTAAACTGCAGGATTTCTTTTGTTTACAGTATTATGAAAACAATCTGGTGTGGACACTACACGATTTCCTTCTACGCCTATCAGATTACGCCCTTTTTTGCTACACTTCATTTAAACTTATTTTCCTGAATTATTCTAACTTAATAAACCGATCTCTCAAGGAAAATTGAAAACGACACAAAAAATTTCAGATTTTGAAATTAAATAGCACAGTCAATTTTTATCATATGGGAGTCAAGGTTCTTCCACCTTTATTTTTTCAGGACTAGTATAAAACTTTCCGAAATGTAAGTATAGGAACCAGAAGGCTGCATTTAAAGTTAATCGAGTTAATTTAAAGTTATTGTAAGTTGAATTCCGTTATTTGTCCAAAATTAAATTGTTTTCGTTTTTTAAAACACTACAAGTATATGAGTACGGCTAGCGTTTGCAAAAATAAAAGCCTAATAAGGACTTTTAAGCTGAGTAAGGGGATATAGATGTACGTTTGGTACTGCCGATTGCAATAAAAAAAGGCCAGGTGCGCAACTAGATGTTAAAGCAGTCTCATATACAAAATTTTGACGTTCTACGGCTATTCACGTTTGAGCTATGCGAAATGCATACATACGTAAGGACGTCCCCCAAATACTCATTTTACAATCCATTTTGGGATAAAGAGTCCATTATTCTATCCGTATGTATAGACGTGACGCAAAAAAGTATTCAAAATGGATTCGTGAACGGACAAAATGAATATTTCCGTTGAAACCTGAAGCCCGGAATTTTTCGAGATTATAGTACTTCCTTTACTTCGTACAAGGAAGTAAAAAGTGCATAAGAAAAATATTTTGCATACATCTGAAAAATATTCATTAAAAGCGAAATTATTTCTCGGGAACATTTCAGAAAAGTCGGTTTTGCAGAGGCCATTAAATGTTGATTTCAGACGTAAGAAACGTAATATACTTAAGATTGCTTAAAATTATGTAACATTCAAACCATTCAAGAGACTGTTCAGACGGATTATCTAGCAATAATCGACGTGGATCCTAGATCAATTATAAAAATGTGAAATTATAAAAAAAGGGAAAGAAAGACAGATAGATAGATAGAAAGAAAAGAAAAGGGGGGAATACTCTGTATTTCATTCATTTTAAAAACTAATATTTATTTTTGGTGTTATCATCTGCACCTGCTTCTACTCGACTTTCTGAAGGGATTTTCTGTATTTTCCTAACCAGCTACAAATGTTTACTTTAGAACGGTTCTTGGGAACAAGAATGGCCCAGCAGCGACTGAAGGACAGATAACGGACGGTTTCTTCCGATTACGGGTTTTTGAAAATTGTTTGGTTGAATACATATTAAGCTTTACTTAGTAGTAAGATAAATATTAGGAAGTTAACCAAGAAAACATCCATATAAGCCTCTTTCTTTAGGCTGGCAGGCCTGTTGTTGCATGTTTTGTAAAACACGAGCTTGGCCATGTTGCACTCAAACAGAGTAAGTTATTTGAGTTTGTGGGTTTTTCTCATTAAACATAAAATCAGAAAAGGGTTTATTGCGTAATATGAAAAATCGACAAACGTTTTCGCCAGTTTCGGTCTGTTAAAATGAGACAGTTATACGCCTTTAATTATAAAAAAAAAAAAAAAAAAAAAAGAATACTACTGCCGTTTTTGAAGAAACAGAAAATAAATAAATGTTTAGAATAAATAAAAATTTAATCAATGAATAAATATTAAAAGTAAAATAAAAAATAAGTAATAAACACATATTGATAAAGACGCGAATTACTTTTATCGTTTTTCTAAGACTATTTTTAAATTTTAAACTTTAATTGGTAGCTTTGACGGTTTGGAAATACTTAAAATAAAATGAAACATAAATTTAAAAAAAAAATCTGAAAGGTTTCAGATTTCAAATTACGTCCAAAGGGACTTTTTTTTAACGTTTTGTGTGTTACCTTTATTTATTAAATATCATGTTCTTCGCACTTAAAGTATAAATTTCAGTTCAATAGCAATGTCGCAAAATAATTTAAAAATGAGCCTATCTTTAGAATTTCCAATATAGAGTCTCACGCGGAGATAAAAATGTTTTTTTCTATACAACGTTGCCATTGCTCGCTATGAAATCCTTGAGTTTGTTAATCAAAATTCGTTTTAAAGTTTTACAAAATATAAAATCGATAATAAAATAACTTCCAAATTTCAAGTTTGGGCTTCCACATGCCCATATTCGCAGTAGAATTACGTCATTCAAAATTCGATGGCTCTATGTACCGTTGTTTTATCACAATGCGAGAAATATACATACATTTATGCAGATTTTTCATTATTTAATTTCTTCAAATATAATGCAGGACTCTAACATTTGGTGGCAACAGTTTGAAAAGTGAAACGGACATTTATAGTGATTCATTGCAAAATCGCAAAATGAAAACAATAGTCCTTCAGGGACAAAGCCCCTCTGGACTAATAGTTAAATAAAATAAAAAATATAATAAATTAAAAAAATCTAAAGGCTTTTAGATTTTATGTTACTTCCCGTTTTGTGGGTTACCTTTATTTATTAAATATCATGTTCTTCACACTTAAACTATAAAATTCAATTCAACAGTAATATCGCAAAATAATTTTAAAATGAGCATATCTTTACAATTTCTGATAAACGGTCTCTCGAAAAATGTTTTTTTCTTACAGTGTTGCCATTCCTCGCTTTGAAATCCTTTAGTTTTTTTAATCAAAAATTCTTTAACGTCTGACAAAATATGAAATATATAATAAAACTAATTCCATATTTAAAATTAGGGCTTCCAGATGCCCATATTCGGTGGAGAATTACGCTATTCAAAACTGGATGGCTCTAGGTACCGTTGTTTTATCACAATGCGAGAAACGTACATACATTTATGCAGATTCTTCATTATTTAATTTCTTTAATAAAGGGCGATAATATTTGGTGGTGTGACGTCGTGGATGCTTCAGTGGGAACGGAATCAACACTGGTAGTGGTGATGCATCACTTTTTAATCACACAACATATAACAGATACAACATTAATACATTTAGAAAACTTTAGTAGATATCCGAGCTGGTGACACGATCAGAGACGTTAACGAAGATGGTACTCGTCATCACTCGACGAACAAAGTCTCCACACCTCAGCTCGCTGGCGGAGCTTCCCAAACTCTCTCTGACAGGCGTCCTACAGAAATCTCATCTCTTTACGTATTACTCAGTTCCCCTCAACACTTATTACTCAGTTCGGTCGTTGCCATTCACAGTTCTTTAAAAGAAGTATTAAAAATTAATTATAGTCCTCGTAGTGTGAGGAGTTTGCTAACGTTCTCTCTAGTCGAGAGCATCATGTCTTTCTAGTAGAGAGTTCAGGAGCGTTCTTTACAGTGGCAACAATTTTAAAAGTGAACAGACATTTAAAGTTTTTAACGCAAAATGCCAAAACGAAATTAATAGCCATTCTGGGCTAGCGTCCTTTGGGCTAATAAATAAATAATTAAGTTTTCAATCCCTCGTATTATGTTGATAAAGCAATTCCCCAATTTTGGAAACAGCAGCGTAATGCATCAGTTATTCAAATAATTCAATTTGTTACAAGTTAAAACACAAACTTTACATTCTATTACATATCATATGTACACTGCTCCCCCCCCCCAAAAAAAGGGGGCAGTGCTATATCTCCCGTTCTACTGGGCCGATTGACAAAATTCAAACTGCGTTTTTCTTGTCTTGAAAGCGCGACTTAGGATATATATCAGATTTATATATAGCACTATTTTAACATAGATATTTTGACACAAAATCGGACTTTTTCTGAAATAACATACCAATGTTTTTCCATATTTCGATTCTACGACTCAAATTATGCCAAAATGGCAAGTTTTGTAAAAATCGTACGAGTAGTTTTAAAAATATTAGCTCTCAAAATTTTAGCTCCTCAATGCTAATTGAATTTGGCAAATATATATTAATATCTCTTTTTTTTATTAAAAGTTTTTGATTTTTCCTTTCACATTTCGAAACATAGGTTCATTCCAAATAAAATTTACCCATTTTTTGTGTTTTATTTTTTAAATTTCTATTTTTAAATAATTTTTATAAATTTTTCGAAAAAAATTTTGAATTATAACCTATAACATTTTTACCATCATCTTAAAGTAGGTGTATTTCTAAGCATACCTGCAAAAAATTAGACATTTTTATTCAAAATTTTCTAAGATATACACTAATTTACATATTCTTGCGTTTTGAAATTTGGCATTTTTTTTTAGCGATAATAACGCCAAATGTGGTTTATGGATTTTTTTTTTTTTTTTTTTTTTTTTTTTTGTTGTTGTTGTTACAGTGAATTGCCACACCTTAACGCTTTGCGGTGTCTAGGGGCAGAAACACATCATCATGCACCAATGAGACTGTTAACTAATACATTCAGTGAAGATTATCAAGGAAATGATTACATACGTTGATGGAGACGGTTGAAAATTATTTACAGCTGTAGAGACGTTCACGTCTTTTAACAACGTCTTACATACGTCTTTTACGTTAATGGCGGCCTCGTCAGCGTTTTTTTCGAAAAACAGTTGCGTTGAACGGCATGCAGCCCCCTCTGCTGGCCGTGGAAGATGACATCCCATAGATGCTCAAACGTCCTAACGGCATGCGTGCTGGTATACTGGAAAAGTGGTCATCATCATCCGGGGAACTATAAAATAAAAAAAGAGAGAAAAACAGAATTTAAAACTTGACTGAGCGAAAAGTGAACGTCATCGTCGTGAATGTCGTCTTGCGTCTTCTTAAACCTCGTCCAGGTACGTCCCTTAAATGCGTCTTCTTAAAATCTTTTAATCAAATCGGGAGAAATCATCAGTCATCAAAATGGATGTTGTACTATAAAAGATCGCTGACCATGATTTCAGGTATTCAAAACAGGCGCTAGTCTTCGAAGATCCTTCGGGAAATCCAAACTTCTCCACATCGTGTGAATTATTATTTTCATTCTGATGATTTTGTATGTACCTAAAAAATTGGATTTTAGCTTTATACCTGGCCCTAACTGGAGATGTTTGATAGCTACCATGTCAATGATTTTGTATGTACCGGGGAATTTTTGACATGTTTTGTAAGTCTTACGATTTTCTTCGTGGATCATTTGAATTTTTTTCGCCTCTTTACGTAAATTGTGTCTAAATTCTATGAAGTCATTCTAGATTTCAGTTTCTACGGACAATTTAGAAATGACTGATATGATAACGGAATTTAAGTGTTCTATTTGTCCGTTAGCTCTTGGTAATCCTATTATGATTAAGTATAAACAAATATTTTCTTTAGTACAATAATCAGCAGATTCCTGAAAAATAAGTGCAGTTCCTCTGTCAGCCATTATATTGCAAGGGCTTCCAATGATTTCTGAATTTTAAACTTAGCTATTATTTCTGTACTAGAGGTAGTTTCAATAGTATATATCCAAGCAAACTTTGTAAATTAATCAATAACCGCTAAGCTGTAGTTATAATTCTTGTTGGAACTTTCTAAAGATCTTAAATGATCTACCTGGTAAGTGTTGAGGGGAATATCTTCTTTAGGTAAAGAATGTAATACTCCTTCCTTCTTTCCAAACTGGCCAATATGCAAGTAGTACAATTTGCGACACATTTTTCAATTTTCTCTTTCAACTTAGGGATATAAAAGTGTTGTTTCAAACTTTCTTCGGTATGTTGAGTAGCAAAATGACCTCGTTCATGTGCGTCTTTAATTGCTTCAATTTGCGTAATCTCAGGTACTGCTAGTACTTCAATTCCATCCACCACTTTGTAACTCACGTCATTCTGTAAGCAATAATCTTCATACGGCTTAGACTTCAAAATTTCTTATATAGCTTCTTATATAGTTCAGAGGCACCTATTTTCTTATGTGTCTCTTCTCAGATTAACGTTACTTGACTACCAGTATCTATTAAAGCGTCCGCTTGCAAATTACCTAAATTAACAGCTTTATGCATTTCTTTCTGACATATCTGATGAACTGGAATTACAGTTTTGTCATCTTTGTTATTTTTAAAAGACGTTTTGGAATAATCCAAGGTTTTGTGTCCAAATAAGTTACATTTAAATCACTTAAATCCTTTACTCATATTGTTACATGAGTTGGATTTATGACCTACACCTTCCACAATTGTAACAGATTGGTTCTTTACTAGGTATAGAGCGTGCTTTATTTTGTGTTTTGACACTTGAATAACCGTTAGGCTTTGTATCTGGAGCGTGAATTTTCTCATAAAATTTTCATTCTTCTTTAAATTCAGAACTCCAGTGTTACTTAACAGAAAAAGCATACAGTCAATTCCAGGTTTTCATACTCTAGCTGGTTAGTGTATTGAGGCAATACCTGTTTAACTGTGTAGTCTTTGTGGTGTCCCATGCACTTTTACCTGTTTAAATTCAGAAATAGTTTTACAACCATGCAACTAATTTTTTGCTACTT